GAATAGATTTGTTCACTCATGATTAAGTGTATGTTTACCTATTTAAGAAACTGCAAATAGTTTTTCAAAGTAGCTATACCAATTTTTATTTCTATAGAACTGTATGAGAGTCCCAGAGTTACAGGCTTGCACCACTTATCCAACTCACTGTGGTTTAATTTCCATATCCCTAATATCTAATGATATTGATCATATTTTCATTTTCTATTTGTTTATATATATATCTTCTTTGATGAAGTATATGTTCAAAAATTTGTTTCTCTTTAGTGGATTATTTGGGGTTTTTATCATTGGGTTTTGAGAGTTCTTTATGCATTCATTTTAGTCCATCATCAGTATATGACTTGAGGTCTATTACATGTCTTTTCTTTGTCTTAAGAAAGGCTTTTTTTCGCAGAGTCCTGCTATGTAATAATTTAAGTTGGCCTTAAACTTCTAGTAATACGCTTACCTCAGCCACCTAGGTATTACAGGTGTGCACCACCATACCTGATTTAAGAACATATTTTGAAATGGGCTCTATTTTAAAAAAATTCCTAAGCTAAATGTTGAGAGAATATAAATTAAATAATACATTTTGAGTTTTGAAAGAACACTATGAAAAGAAAAGAAAGAGCACTATGTGCAGGGAATAAACAAAAGTAAGAATTTCAATTAATATCAATTGAAGCAGAATTTACTGGTTTGGTGAATTCTGATGTGAACAAGTTTCTGGAGTACACGCCATCAAATTAATGTATGAGTTAAATAATTAACTTGGTCCTATGAGTGAGGAGAGCATGATACTGGCACTCTGGCCTAATGTTGGAGTGTGTTGAAAGTGTACTCTTCTAGGAGATCTGAAACAATTCAACTGGTTTTTGAGAAGCAATAGTGTTTCAGACAAAAGGATTAACAGATCATTCTTTAGGTTCAACAAGCAGTGTTGCAAAAGACTTAGAGAAAAATACCTGCAGCAGTCAAAGTCTGGCTCTTGGCACACATGCCTTCTAACCAACTCACTGCTGCTCTGCCTGACTCAGTCAAGTCAGCCGTAGAAGGCCTTTGCCCAGGGCAATGGCTGCAGCAAGTCCGCACATGGAGTGGGCTTCTTGGTAACCAAAGTACACTTTATATTCATCATCTGGACAAAAGCATCAAAAGCCCCCAAGAATGGCTTCATAATCTGCACATCCTTACTTGCTATTCATGTTTCTTCTTTGGTAAAGTGTCCATTCAAGTACATTACCCATTTGTTTGAGTTGGTGCTTTGTCTTGTAATTGAGTTTTCAGAGCACTTTTGAAGCCTATGATGAAAATAATTGCTTTATCAGATGTATGATTTGAAATATTTTCTCATAATCTGTGTCATACTCTTCATTTTCTTAGTAATTTATGAAGACTGTATGATGGTGCAGTCTTGAAATCCAAGACTTAGGATGCCAAAGAGGGAGGATCACAAGCTCAAGGCAAATCTGAGCAAAAAAGAATCCATCTCAAAAGAGAGAGAGAGAGAGAGAGAGAGAGAGAGAGAGAGAGAGAGAGAGAGAGAGAGTATTGGCCAGAAGTAGTGGCATACACCTATAATCTCAGCATTGGGAAGGTCAAGGCAGGATTGCCTTGAGCTTGAGGGCAGTCTGGTCTATATAGTGAGTTCAGGCCCATTTTGAACTGTACAGTGAGACCCTGAAAAAAGTAGTGTTTTATGAACAAATCTCTGGTCACTTGCAATCTGAGTACCTGAAAGTGTTTAATGTCACATAAAGTGTCTACATATCTGCTCCAATAATTACAAAAAAAGACTACCAGACTATCCCCTGATGCTGCTTTGCACCTGCATGTCCATGTGTTTAGGCAACATTCTCATAATCGGTTTGCCACCTTCTATTGCTTAAGAGCTAAGCAAGGAGACTCCACCTCTTAATCCATGTCTGTGAGAGTACCATTCTCTCTCTGTGATTTCTCTGGAGTCCTAAGGTACAGGTGTGAAGAGAAGGTGGCTCCATTGTCATTGTTGTACCTGCTGTCCCTGCCAGTTTGGTTCACTATAAAGTTCTTGTCAGCCCAGGCTATTTGACAATATTAAATGGGGCACTTTTGGAAAATATACAAAAATTCTACACTCATAAAGACTTTATACAGACAGGAATCTTTACCAAAGTTTGAAATAAAGTGAAGTAGAGGATCTCAGCACTTTGAAGCATATACTTTCAAGTTGCATATGAGATGCTTTGTTCTGAAATGTCCTGTGTTCCTTCCTATTAAAAATTTTCAGGGAGCATCACAGCTTTGGACTATTTAGGGGGCTTCTCTTTGTCTCTTTTCTCTTCACAACAAACCAACACCAAAAATAGGCTGTCCTAACATTTTCTGTTGCTATAACCTAATGCCCGAGATGGAGTTATTTATAAATATAGGAGGTTTATTTTGGCGTGTAGCTCTGGAGTCTAGGAAGTCTAGACTCCAGCTGCATCTCATCAGCTTCTGGTGAGGGCCTCATTGTGCTCTAACCCATGCTGCAAAGTACAAAGGAAGAAAGAATGTATACATATGAGAAAACGAGGCTGGATTTCTACAATAGCTGACTCGTTCCTACAAGAAAGGAATTCATTCATTCATAGGGGCTCTGCCCTATGTATCTCCTTCTTGGTCTCTCCTCTCAAAACTTCTGCACTGGGAAATAAAGGTTCCAATACATTAATTTTTGGACATATTCAAACCATATCACATGTTCTAGATGTTTTATTGTCTTTTGTGTTGTCATCCTCATAACTTTAAGATCTGACTTTCTATCTCAAAACTTTCCTTAGATATTTTTAAACAGCATTATCCTTGTGAAATAGTGTAGTACCAGCTAAAATAACATTTTTGTTTTGCCTTAGCCCTCATACATGATTACCTATTTTGCATATATAAATATCACCTTAGGCTATTCCTATTAGAATTAACTTTAATTGTCACTTATCTTCTACTTCTGATGGATATGCTTTTTGGTATTATGGATGGTTGACATGCAATATGTAGGCTCAGCTGTGACACAGTATTTAAAATCCTGCAGAATTCTTTGTCCTTCTGACCTCTATACACAGGCAAAGCCGGATGTTCCAAAAACTGGCCAGTTTCTGGTTCAGTTTGGCTGCATGGCCCAGAGCAGTCGGTGGGCAGCCAAGACGGTTCGCTGAAAGAAGACCAGACACCACGGGGAGCCACTGTTTGCATTTCCATGCTGGCCCATACTGCATTTCTCAGCTGCAGCATGTACTTTTATTTTTGCTTTTATCTCCTTTTTTCTCTTGTTCTGTCCAAGTTTGTTCTGGAGAGCTGGTTTCTCCCATACTCATTAACCCTACACTTTTCAGATACTCTCTTGGCACCTTTTTTGACTTGTTTCATCCGATTCTTTGTTTGAAGCAACAAGTGCCTGGCATACTTTTGATTGATAAACCATTTCTAAAGGAGCTGTCTGGTAATGGAGGAATACTGATTGCTTCACAGGACACTTGACTGGTTTGGATCTATGGCCACAGGCCCACCAGGATGGCAGTTCTGGTGTATGACTCTCTTCCAGCAGGAAGGGGGACCTCTGAGTTCATTGTCAGCAAAATAGGATCTGGCAGATGTCTTTTCAAGTTGAAACATTTAAGAGGAACTCAAATTTCTGAACTGCCCTTGGAGAAAATGTCTAGCAACAACTAAAGACTTTTATTACTTTGCCGTGTGTGCTTTTTTCCCCCAAACTTTCCTTCAGTAGCTACACAATCTTGGGGCAGTTACTAAACCTCTCTGAGATCTTCCTATCCTGTATAAGGGAATAGTGTAATGATTCCTACTTAAGAGTGCATGTGAAGAGGGCAAATCCAAGTAGGAGCATAGTGCTCAGCACAGTGCCTGTTTTATTTGGATCTTTCAGTAGATGGTAGCTGCTGGTGACAAATACGAGTGAAGAGGTCAGCACAAAGACAAAACCCCAGCCAGCTGGTGCCTGTTGGCCAGGTGTTCAAAGAGCTTTTGGGAAAGCTTGATTTTCCCAGGTTAAGCATTGGGGAAAGTTGGTCTCCTTTATCCCACCTGAGTTTCCTTATCTCTCATGCTTTGCGGTTTTCTTACTTGGCTTGAAACTGGACTCATCCTGTTACAGTTTACCTGGCTTTGAGGAATATGAGGCTTCAGAGATGTGGAAAAGCAGGAACATGAGATAGAATATTCCCAAAACTCTGTGTGAGCAAGCTACAGTGCCAGGAGCAGACTTGTTTTTTTGAGAAAACTGGGGACAAAAAGGCCATATTGCCAGGGCACAAAGAAGGTTATTCTCCTACTGGTGCCTTTCTCTGGCAGAAGATACACTCACGTTTTGAAACCAACATATCTTGGCTATGCCATGAAAAGCAAAATAAAGCCACTTATTAAATCTCAGAGAAGAGCCTGGGACTTCTCACCCTTAGGCTTAGAGTCAAAGACATGTTTTTAAATCCTCTGAAAAGAGGTTTAAATAATATTCCTCAAATACCAACAACAAAAAAAGGGCTTAGAGTGAATGCAAGAGCTAAAGACTTGCTCTTCAGACTATCCAGAGAAGCAGACAAATTCTATTTTCATTACCAGAGAGCCTGGAGGAAAAGCAGTAGTGGGAATCCCATGTCTTACAACCAGTCTGCTTCTCCCCTCCCTTCTAATCCCACCAGAGTTCATATCACTCTGATTTCCCTAGGAGTTTAAATTCCCTTGTCATCTCTTACCTTGTGTATTACATTGGCTTACTTGGATTTTAAATTTCTCAAAGGCATGAGCCAGAATCTACTATTTTGCAGGTATATTTAATAAAGAACGTCTAATAACGGCTGAGCAATTACTAACCTGGGTGACTACATAAATCCAATTGAAAGTAACACTTCCATTTTCTACTTCATATTATAAATAATTTATTTTCCAAGGTAAAAATTTAAATAAAGAATACAAATAACTTAACCCATAAATTAATAAATGATTTTCAACTCCTCTACTGTTTTTCACATGCAGTGCATTTGTTACCAGCCTCTTATGAGAACTTCCTGAAGGCATTGTCCTGTCCCAGTGCACAGACTGGAAGATCTTCAGTCTTAGAAGCAATCTGTAAGTCTGTCAATGAGGGAAAAGTTCCTCAAGAGTTCCACCCGAACTACTGTCCAGGCACAAATGCTGTTCCTCTTGGCATTCAGGTACCTCCTGATCCTCCAGTAGTAGCTCTTCAGGCGCAGAATGGCCGTGGTGTCCTCTGCGGTGAGGGTTTTCCCCTCCAGCACTTCCTGCAGGATTGCTGACTTCAGGTGACCCATCTGTTGATGGAGTTCAACAAGGAGGTTCTCCACAATGGTCTCATTCCACATGGTGTTTGGGACATTTTTTCTGAAAATACCAAAGATATTCTGAAGCATCTCGTGAATGACAAGAGCAGCCTTCTCCTTCTGGAACTGCTGTGGTTGCTTGATCTCCTCAGGGAATCTGAAGTCCATCCTGTCCTTCAGGCAATAGTCAGGCTTTCCTTTCATCTGCTTCAGAAGCTCCAGACAGGCCAAAGTGCTGCTGTGTTGTTGTTGCTGAAGTTGAAGCAAGTTGTAGCTCAAGGAAAGAGATGTGGTGAAGGACAACAAGAGAGCAATTTGGAGGACACACCTGCTGGCCATGATGAAAACCGGAAAGGTGTCGTCTGTTACCTGCACGATGGAGCAACGTCTCCAGAAGTCTGCAGTTTGAGTGTCCTTCCTCCATGAGTATGGGCTATTTATATGGGATGGTCCTCTCTGTTTCACAGGAATTTCCCACTTTCAGTTCTCCCTTTCAGTTTTCCTATGTCACTTAAGTACATTTAAAATTTTAACATCTAACAGTTTTAAAACTCCTATTTTATAAAATGTACATGAGGGGAAACGTATATAAGCAGTGAGAATTTCTACTGTTCTGTGTAGGTTCAGTAACTGTTAAAGCAAAATGAGGAGTAAAGGACCTGGAAGAAAGCAGAGGACTTGAGAAGAAAGAACTCCCAGTATCCAAGCGATACTAACTGAAAGCCAATCACAGAACAGGAGATAACCCTGGGCAGACTTTGTCCATTGCAATAGTAGATTATGTGTGATGTTCTTTGTAAATTTGGAGAGCCCTTGGAACACCGTAGGGTATAAGAAATTTTGAAACTAGGCAACCATGGCTCTCTCCAGAGATAGGTTACTACACTGAGAAGAAACTATTGCAGATGGAATAAAAAATGAGCAGAACAGAAATAACAGGGACAAGGGAACAGGACAGCTTACTTTAGGGCGGTGATGGCAAAACTTGTAGAGGCAAAGTGTCCAAACTGCAACCCAAAACCCATTCATTTATGGCAAAGTGCCAACACTGCAAGTGAACCTGAGTGCTCAGCCTCTGGGGCGATGCCGAGGAAACTTGTCTCGTGCGCCAGCACAGAGGGCTCTGCGCGCCCGCTGCAGCACACGTACCTGGGTTCACTACCACTGCTGTAGGGGAAAGTGAGCCAGAAAACACGCTGCTGAATCTTCAAGCATTTCACAACAGTAACAGAAGAGGGAGCTCTTAGAAAAACCACCCTGATCATTTAGTATTCTATAGAAATGCTCACAGAAAACGAAGCAGTGGAATGTGATGCAAATGTGCTATTAGGGAAGAGGAGTAGTAAACTAATTTATCTATAAATAACAAAAATATCACAGGAATATACGGATAGATCACAACTGTAACATACTGTCACCAAAGGAGTTTTAAAATGCTAAGAAATATAAATAGAACAATACAAGTCAGAATTAGAAAACATTGGAAATGAGTCATGTATGTAGGAAATAATTAGAAAATAAAACCCTAAATTTTGGCTAAGTAGATACAGTCACAAGAACTGAGAATTTGAGGGGAATATCAGGCACTGGAGAAAAGCTTCAATTTGGGGAAAACATTAACCTACTAGTAGAACCCACCAACCTATAAAAATTATTATGTACTGTCTAAGGGGATACTGCAAAGATGTTCAGTCTTGTACCTGTATATGGAGCAGATTATGAGGTCCAATGATCAACTCCTATAAAAAATTTCAGAATATTAAAAATAATGGTGGAGCAAAGGTGACTTTTTTGTCAAGCTCTAAAGTCAGAAAGTAAATAAAACATACTGGATAAAGTGTGACCATAGACAAACTATAAATTTCAGTGTGACAAAAATTTAAAAACTGTGAAGACAAAGAGGAAGCACAACATCCAAAACACATTTATAATTACAATGAAAGGGACGATTTGTTTCACTCCCAAGTTACGCTTCAAATTAACAACCTTCCAAAAGAAAAGTTTATAGATGTTGTAACTTCTACTTTGTTTGCTAGAATCATTATTCTTATTCAGCCAGCATGTTAGTGGTCTGACTGACCTGAGCCTGCTGTCCTGTAGAAAGAGCAAACTAGCTCACAAGGAGGGCCTATGGGAAAATGGCAACGTATTTCAAACTTGAAAATATTAAGCAATGGCATCATCCCTTTAGTTTACAATACTACGGCTAAGAATTTACTTACAGCTTTCCCTACAGAAGTGTGTTTCTGTGTTTGTGTGTGTGCAAGTGTGGGTGCATGGCTTAACCACATATAAAACAATTATAAATGTTCAATGTGGTGCTGTCATAGTAATAACAAATATTCATTGATAGATAACTGGTTAAAGAATAATGTTGTATGGACAAAATGAAATACAATTGAGACACTAAAAGGAATGATCATGATATGGATCTATTTCATGAATAGGTGTATATCAGATAGTGAAAAGAACAATACTTATAATGTATACAGTAATACTTGTGTTTGGGCTGGGGAGATAGCTCAGTGGCAGAGTGCCTGCCTCACAACCCTAAGGTCCTGAGTTCAATCCCTGGTGAAAAAAAAAAAGGAAATAGTAATACCTGTGTTTATTAAATTAATTATAAGGTATGCATATGTACAGTGATAAATGTATATGATCTTTAAGCATGTTTACTCAAATACAATTGCAGTTACTTGAAGAGAAAATTCTGACAGTGTAAGGATGTACTATGAAAGCAAAGGTCATTTCCTTTTCACTGTATACTTATAGAACTTTTTGTAAGTGGAGTTTTATCCATGAATAAGAATATACCTGGGAGACGGAGACATTAGGTTTCTTCACATTTTAATATATTTTAATAGAATTCAGTGTTACTAAATTTTAAGTTTTCCTTTGCTTTATTCACATTTAACATTTTTCTATAATGAATGACCATTACTTGTATCATTAGAAAATTTAGCTACATAACAGCAATGGAAGATTTCATCCAGTAGCCCACTAGGATGTCTCTGGAACCCAGAAACTAGGTGTATATTTTACAAAGGAGTAGAGATTGGAGTTTGAAGGTTCCTAACTCAGAGAAAAGATACATACAGAAAAAGCTGGGAGTATACTTTGAATGCTATTGTACATGCTTCCCAAATCTGCATTCCCAGCAGGGGGCTGTTGGCAGGGGCAGAGCCTGTAAGAGGTGGGGTCTAGTAGGGGCTCCTTAGGCTTTTTAAGTGGCTATTGACACCCTGGGCCCCCCTCACTCTTTGCTCCCTGTAAAAGGTGAGCAGTTTTGTTCCACTGCTCTCTCCTGCCAGAAAGTGCTGCCTTACCACAGGCACAAAAGCAGTGAGCAATCAGTCATGGACCAGATCCACCAGACACGTGAGTCAAAATGAGTCTGTTCTCTTAGAAAGTTAGTCATAAATCGTACCACAAAGCTGACTAACACAGGTAGCAATGCTAACTAGCCTGTTTTGGACACACTAGCCTGTTTTGGACACACATATGATGATTCTGACCGTACCATGTGAATATGTACAATAACTGTATGTTAATGAATAAGTTCATGTTATATTGAAAAGCAGGATATAAAATTGTACATATAGCAAGCCTTGTAAAACTGTGTAGAGAAAAACTACTAAAAGGGAGTGTGCCAACATTTCATAGTAATTTCGTTTGGCTTGTGCTACTTAAGGGTGAGAGCTAGAGACACAGCTCAGTGGTGGACTACTTGACCAGCACGGACAAAGCCCTGGGATCTGTGCCCAGCACTGCAAAAGATGAAACAAAAGCATGTTATATTTTTTGTTTTGTGTAAATTAATCTATTACAAAACAATACATTTTTTTTTTTTTTTTTTTTTGCAAAACCCATGAAAAAGCTGAAAGCTAGATGTGGTGGCATATGCTTATAATCCCAGAAATCAGTCAAACTAGAGATGGTTCATTCTAGTCTGAGTAGGGCCATTCCAAGGAGTCTGGATGCTGGGGCCTGTCTCTGCAGGTGGACTTGCAAGGTCAAATAGAGTTAGCCTCCCCAAGTACAACAGTGTCCTCATTCCCTGCCACCTCCAGTGATGTCTGATTCTCCATGGTGAAATGGTCCCCAGAGAGTTCATAGTGGAATATAATAAAAAGAATATGATAGTAGCAGCAGTTGTAGCAACCATTTTTTTTTAATATTTATGATGTGCCATGTGAAGTAAATAGTAAATATTTGTGATGGTGTTTTAGTCCATTCTTTCTTACTATAATGAATGCTTGAGGCAGGTTTGTTTAGCAGGCAGTTCTGCAGGTTCAAAGACCAGCTTAGTTGGCGCCAGTGTTTATTCACAATGCAACTGGAAAGGATAAAACTCATTCCAAATATAGCTATATATCCAAATGTAAAACACTCAGTAGTGGAACAAAGTTGTGTAAATGACCTATATAATTCAGATATAAAGGGTAAAATTTAAAAAGCCACCAAAATAACCATAGTTATAGAAATTTGTTAATATTAAAACCATCAAAAAGTGTAAGTTGTGGTGTGGGAGTAAACATACTGATTTTGGTGTTTTTTTGTTTTGTTTTGTTTGTTTTGTTTTTGGTACTGGGAATTGAATTCAGGACCTTGTGCTTGCCAGGCAAGCACTTATTCTACCGAGCTATCTCCCTGGTCCCAAGAGTTTTTATATGCAATTGAATTAAATTAAAATAGACTGATGTAATTATAAGGTATTTAATGTAAGTTTCATGGTAATTACAAAGTAAAAACCTGTATAATATCCATAAAAGATGAAACTATTATCAAAAATCATCATATCAGTAAAGATAAGAACAGAAGAAAAGAAAAAGTAAACTACAAAAAAAGAAAAGCAATTAAGAGATTAATAGTATATCTTCACTTAGCAAAAACTTCTTTCTTTCTTTCTTTTCTTTTTTTTTTTTTTTTTTTTTTTGGTGGAACCAAGAATTGAACTCAGACCCTTGCACTTGCCAGGAAAGCGCTTATTCTACTGAGCTGTCTCCCCGTTCCCCACTTCTTTTTTTTTTTCTTCTTCTTCTTTTTTGTTCCTCGAATGCCTTCAGGGCACTTTTGGCCAGCAGGAGAGTTGTGAGGTTCGAACTCCAGCAACCTGAGGCTGAGAGCTTTGTGGAAGAAGCCACTTAAAGGCCTGAGCTAGGGCCA